CATGCACACAGAACAGGATACTTCTTCATGAAGATTGTTTAGCAAGGTTTTTATATCCATGATTATTGAAGGGCGGAAAGCAGGGAGGGTTTGCAGTTGTAGACGCCTTCAACAATGAAGTCTTGTGATCGAGCGTCTAATAATATTAACCAATCATAGAGCGTTGTTCATAGACATGTTTGACGTGTACGATTTCTAAGAATTGTGAATTGTGATGAGTTAGCTTGACGTTATCAAATCATGTTGTGTCAGGTCGCTAAATGATTGAAAGGTTGAAAGAAGACAGTGACCTAGTTTTGTGATATTGACCAATCACAGAGCGGCATTAGAGGCGTTTTCATATCACGCGACTTGCAAAAATAACCACAGGATGGGCAAGATTTCTGAGAATTGTGATCAGGATTCCTTGACCTTATAAACTTAAAAGGCTTTCTGATATCTTTTTAATCAGATTATTTTTCATGGCAAAATGTTGGGAATGGTGTAATAGTCTTCAGTGGGTTTGTCGCGCAGTTAACTGATGTAGCTAGTGACTAGGCGATGTTACCTTTGGGAGACAAATGGCGTTTAAACAATTAAGAAACGCTGGGGAACTTGATCAGAGGATGAGGCGAAACGTGAATGTCGGTCAGCACTGTATTGTATCCACCAAGACATCTGAAAGCGAAAGGAGAATGAGATCGATGCAAGTTTGAAATCGTACCAGTTTGTAACCGGGGCACTCTCGGACGTTTGACGAAAATAATACCTGATATCCCGAACATAACTCGACGAATTGGAATCAAAGCTTAAATACCTAAGTTCAGTCGAGTTTTCTTGCTTTGTAGCTAGAGGAGACTGAACTGGTAGACGAACTCTCGAAAATTAGACGAAATTAATGCCCCATCTCCCGAAGATAGCGTGACGAATTGGAAGTATGTGGCCTGAATGCCTGATCTGCATCTTGCGGGCTCAAAATCAACTGCTACCGGGGTCTTTTAATTACGCTTTCTTTGTCGTTAAAGTCAGTACTTATTAATAACGAGGGAAGCCGGAAATATATATGTCATGCTCCTCTTAAACGACAACACTGATGAAACTAATGCATGAAAAAACATGAAAATTTCGACAAGGGCGAACGTATTAATAGTTAGCCAAAAAAAAGCTACACAAAATGTCAGGAATATTTTTAACGACTTTAACTTTGTTGTATGCTTACTACGATTATCAGTTGAGTAAGACGCAACAGAGCTTTGGTAACAACGTTTTGACCTTAAATTATAAAATTACAGAGTTGCCACGGGCAACTTTCCTCGTTTCCAATGGTAACAATATCGTCGCCTACAATTTCGCGCGCTTTGCTGCTAATGACGTCATAGGCCGACAAGTTTCCACTGGAAACGGATGTTGATGTTGTGATCGATAACGCCGGCTATCAATCTAAAAACAACAGGGAAACGTCTAGTCTTCACGTTTTCTTCGTTCTTTCTACTTGGCCAGTCTCACCTTCGGGTATTTATGGTGCTCTTCTTCTTAACGACAACAGTGAAAAAGAACGCTATTCGCGTGGAATTGCGGGAATAACTGATCAGCAGACCGCCTTCACGCGTGCGCAAGGGGCGATCTTGCAAAGTCGAGATTTCAATTTGCGAGTAGAACGCACGCGAAAAATTCCTTATCCACGAAGCTAATATCTCAAAAACTGATTCGGTGACCCTAATTTCTTTTAACGCAAAAAATAATTCAACAGCAAAAAGCGGAATGTATGCGCGAAATTGCCAAAAAAAAAAAAAAAAAAAAAAAAAAAAAAT